GTTTTTTATTATTAGGAATTTATTTTAATTAAATTAATGTTTTTGTCATTTAAATTCAGTTGATTTGCACGAAACCAGAAAAAAAGGGATTTGAAACTGGTTTGTTTCAAAAAAATTTTTTTTGATGTTTGCGTTTTGACGCAATATTTTTGAAGAAAATCATGAACAAAATTTTTTAATATTTTTTTTTGACAACAACAATAACAACAGTGCCAATTACAACAACAACAACAATACTAAGGACAACATTAATACAAACCCAGTTAGTGCTCAAGGGTCTTTGGAACCAGAGCTTCTCTCGACTGACGCAGAGGAGGAACTCTTTCTCACGCCAGTAGAGGAAAAGGCGGCACCTCCGATGGAGACGGATATCAGGATCCTCTTGGACCTATTATCCAACAAACTGAGGAGGACCAAAAAAGGTTGGACATCAGGGGAAGAAAACAATATTTCTGTGGTGCATCCAACCGGCGTATCGCGGCTTATATCAGGGATGGCATGTCCCCAGAGGAAGCTCGCAGATATGAGAAGGAAAGGCTAGAAAAGCTGAGGGCCTGCGGATCGGGTGTTGTGGCCGACCATCCCCAGAAGAGGAATGCAGGGCCCTCAAAAAAGAGGTCGATGAAGGGCAATGTTGAGGAAAAGGTCCCTGGGAACATTGCTCAACAAAACCCGAAAATGACTTCTTATCGGGATGCAGTAGCACAGGTCAAGGTGGCCATCACTCATAGACTGCATCCAGAGGAAAGGTTATCCGAAGTTCAGATGGGGAAAATCAAAGTAGCCATCATGGATGAAATGAATAAAGTTGTGGACTCTCATCCACAATTCACTGCAGCGTTGCAAAGGGACGGATGCCTATCCGTAACGAGCAAAAATCAAAACACCAGGGAATGGATAACCAGTGTCTGCAGGAAGATAAAGCCTTGGGACGGTTGCGCCGTCGTGGTACTGGATGGCAACGACATGCCCAAATAGCATGTCTGCGTCACCTACGTACCAAAGGAAGAGACAACCGTCAGTCTCTCCAGGGACAAATTTCTAAGTAGGATGGGGAAGGTAAATCCCGGCCTCAAGATAAGTTCCTGGAGGGTGCTGAGGAAGGAAAAGGACGGGGTAGATTGGAAAGTCTGAAATCGGTCCCAAAAAGGGCGCAAGGGAAACGGAAGAACCATCGACCAGCACGCCAAATACAAGCGTCCCGGGTGAACCAAAAGAGCTCAAGTCCATTGGGAAGCCCGGAACTGCTTCGGTATTTGCTGATGGAGGGACTAGCGCGGCACCTAGGACGGCAAAAGAGGCTGTGGCAGGGCAGGCGCCCACCAAGATGTGTAAAAAGGCGGCAATGGGAGGCAAGGCTCATGTAAAGCCTTTGTCTAAAGGGCCAAAGCCTATAGACAAGAGCCGGAGAAATGATATGGCTGTGAGGTGCATCCAAATAAATCTACAGCATGCTAGGGCATCTACTGATGTTCTAGCTCAAAGATTTATGAAGGATCACCTCGATATTGTCCTTATCCAAGAGCCTTACTTAATGAAGGATCAGGTTAAGGACCTAACAAGTGAGCTTTTGTATGATATTACAATTGAGGGCAAGCCGGTCATAAGCTATATACGGCCCTTGCTAGGCCCATCGTCACCTATGCGTCGATTGTATGGTGCCGTAAGGCTCAGCAGGCGGGTGTGTGGACCAAGCTGGAAAAGCTACAGAGGCTGGTCTGGCTGGCAGTGACCGGGCTCCCACCACTGCATTGGAGGTGATGATCGGATTGCCGCCACTGCACCTCCATATATTGAAGGAAGCTTGGCTAGTGACTTACCGACTCCTCTCTGGCGAGGAGACTTCATTGAGAGCGATCCGATTCTAAGAATAACCATGTCGGATACCTGTCTAAGAATCAATTTAGAAAGGGGGTATAGAAAACGCACCATCTATGTGTTCTCAGACAGCAGGGCTGCACTGCTGGCGCTTCGTTCAACTCAGGTTACATCCAAGCTGGTCTGGAGCTGCCTTCCTACACTTATGGGATTGGCATCGGAGAACAGAGTGACGCTCATTTGGGTGCCGGGCCATAGTGGCCATGCGGGCAACGGAGTTGCCGATGAGCTGGCACGGAGGGGATCTGGGGCTGACTTTGTGCAGCCTGCCTTTCTGCGGTCTGCCTTCTTCCGCCGTGGGAGCCAGGCTTGCCTGCCTGCTCGCGGCGGAATGCGGCCGTCACTGGCGGGACACGAAAGGGTGCCGTCATGCGAAAGTGTTTCTTTCGGCGTGCTCCAGCGGATTCACCGCAGTTGCTGGGGATGAGCAGGAGCTGGGTTCGCACTATTGCGAATTTCTTCACGGGGCACTGCTCAGTGAAGTACCACCTGCGTAGGCTGGGGAAATCGGGCTCCCCCCTGTGCAGATTTTGGCGGAGTGGCGATGAGACCGCCGTGCACATTCTTTGCGACTGTCCGGCACTGGCTGTTCGGCGCCGCAATTGTCTTGGACATGAGTCCCTAAGTGTTCGGGAACTGTTGTCCAACTCCCTTAGGGATATCTCCGGCTTTGTGATTGGGACGGAGATATTATAGACGGGAGAGTGTGGGGCTACAATAAGTCAAAAATGGCAGCGGTGGCTTGGACGTTACTCCTGCCACTCGTTTCCCTTAGAATCTACGAATCTCTACGAATCTACTAAATTCTTACCTAAAAAGCTTCTATATGTAATTTTTATTTTGTATAGCCAATCATAAACTCACCTGAAAATAAAAGAAAATAAAAATTTTTATTTTAGTTGCTTTAAATAAAATAGGAACTAAGTTGCTCTTAGATTATAAGATTTTATAAAAAAGTAGAATGTCAATTATCTTGTAGCCTGATCGTGCATCTTGCTTTTTTACCCACTATTTATTCACTTTCAAATCAAATTTCTCAGTATTTTCTAATGGATGTTTCCCTTTTCCAATAAGAATTTTTTTTAATCGGATTTTTGTATTTTTTCTCAAATTATCGACTGAACGCCTTACTTTCAAAAACAAAGTGAATAAATTTTGTATAAATTTTAGAAAAAAAAGGAAAAATGCAATACCAAATAATTCTTCTCACTCGAAAATTACAATATACAAGTACATATATGATACTCACTTAGCAAGATAAATAGCGAGATAGACGATCAGAACCTCAATATCATTATCCGCTGATTAAAAGTAAATTTGAATGAAAATCTTTTAAATTACCAATTTTTCTCTCTGTTTTTGTTCTTCATCACAAAATTTAGAATAATAATTGTAATATAAATTTAAAATTATTTAATATTAAAAATTAATTTATGCAAATAAAATTCCCATACAAATTTTTTTATACACTTATGCTATTTGATTTGCATATCAGGTATACATACTTATTTACATTGTTGTATGTGCATTCAAATTTAAAATTCTTCATTTACAACATCATTTTTGTCTACGAGTACATCTGGTATAAGTTTAGAAGGCTTAGTGCAAATGCAATAAATTTCTGAAAATTCATCTTCAAAGCAAGTATTGTCATAGTCAAATTAAGGTACTTTAGTACAAAAGAGAGAGGAATATAAACATGCAACGGCTTTAAAAGTAAAGATTAACTGCGAAAATTTAAATTTTAAAAAATATTTAATTTTCCCAATTAGTTTTCTGTATTGAGTTAAAGCAACCAATTTTGCAGACAGTAATTGTTGCTGACGTATCTATATGCACTGATACAATGAATGTACTTACATATGTATAATCTTAAGCAAATTGTTAATGAAATTTTTTTAGAAATATTTACAAAATTCTGTGCTTATCCCGAATATAATTTTTAATTTAGAAAATTGATCATCAAACGTTATTAAACTTTATTCAATTAAATTTTTGTAATTACAAAATTTTACAATGTATACAATCAACTGTACAAAATATAACATAAACTTTATTGCAAAAATGTATAATAATCAAATAAACAAAATTATTTTAATAATAATTTTTAAGAACAATCATAAAAAAAAATTTTAATGAAAATTTTGTAAAACAAATTTATTAAAACTTGTAAAGCAAAATATTTGAATATTTTATTACCAAATTCCGAAAATTCTTATTATTATGGTAATAATGATGAAAATTATAAACATTTTACATACCCACATACTCCTATACATTTTGCATTTTCCATAAAAATAATTGCCATTTATTAGAGTGCAATACAAGAAATAATTTTGCTTGTATTTGTAGATGCAAAAGTCAATGATCCGTTAATTGATTTTGTCATATATAAACTCATTTTAACTGTGTATGTTTGCATGTTAATGGTTGTCCTCATATTATTGTCACTTATTGTACATACATGTGCCTACATACGAAGGCATATGTATCTACGTACATACATAACAGCTCTTTTCATACAAGTATTATCGCGTTGGTGATTAAAGTTTTGTGTCACTTCTATTTCATGTAATATTTTTACCATTTATCGCAAATAAAAAATTTATTTTTAATAAAAGCGAAATGTTGAAGGTTTTCATTATAGTTTTAGATATGAAAGTGGAAAAATGTTGGGTATTTTTGAAAAAAAAACTACACAAAAGAAAAATATTTTTCCTTGAAAATTGTTGTAAATTTTCTATATCGCTTATGTGGGCTTGAGCGCATAAACATATTTTATGCGATTTTTGTTACTAAATAAATATTTATGGGAATTTTATAGCTAATAATTTAAAGACGACACTTAAGCAGCACACTCTTTTCTTGTTTGAATGTAATAAAGGCAGCTAGATATTAGTGGCTTCTCATAACTCTTTCATTATTCTAAAGTAACTCTAAGGATGTCAATATTTTTTGCATAATTTTTTCGATGTTAATTTCATTTAAAAAAAATGTCTTATATAATGTGTGGTGCAAACATTTAATTCATGTAATACATATATTTAAAATTTAATATTCAAAAAACAAAAAAAATTTAAAACTTTGTAATTGATTTAATACACAAAAGACCGGTCAACATATTAGAAACGATAAGGATTTGGATGTTGTGGTCTTGGACGTCCTTCCAAAAATCTCTGATAATTATTTTGACGTCCTCGATACCTCTCGAAATCTTCTACAAAAGGTGACGAAAAACGTGGAGGTAATCTTGCGGATGGTGGACCTGGTTGTCTTGGTCGGTACGGTAAGTCTAATTGCCCAAATGGAGGTGGTACATCAATAAAGGGTGGAAACCTTCTTCTATATGAATTTGGTGGTCCACGATTTCTACGATTTGGTCCACGTGGAGGCCCGCGTCGATAGTTACGATAATAATAGTAAGGATTACGATGTCTGTGTGGTTTTCTTCGTTCCGGAAACCATGGATTTCCTGGGAAATGAGGACGAAATTCTTCTATTGATTCTTCGGATGAAAAACCCTCAATATCTTCGTCAGAATCTTCTGGTGGAGGTATTATATCGAAAGGCGTATTTCCAGTTCCGTCTTCATCATCAGCATTTGGTGGATTTGGGGGATTAGCATCAGATGGTGGATTTTCACTTCCATCTACATCACTGCCGGAATTTGGTGGATTTTCATCGTCACTGTTTGGGTTAGCACCAGACGGCGGATTTTCACTCCCATCTATATCATTGCCAGAATTTGGTAGATTTCCAGCTGTATTATCATCGTCATTGTTTGAGCTACCATCTGATGGCGGATTACCATTTTCATCTGCATCATTGCCCGAATTTGGTGGATTTTCATCGTCATTGTTTGGGTTAGCACCAGGTGGCGGATTTCCACTTTCATCAACATCATTGCCGGAATTTGGTGGATTTCCAGCTGTATTATCATCGTCATTGTTTGGGCTACCACCTGATGGTGGATTCCCATTTTCATCTGCATCATTGCCCGAATTTGGTGGATTTTCATCGTCATTGTTTGGGTTAGCACCAGGTGGTGGATTTCCACTTTCATCTACATCATTGCCGGAATTTGGTGGATTTCCAGCTGTATTATCATCGTCATTGTTTGGGCTACCACCTGATGACGGATTCCCATTTTCATCTGCATCATTGCCCGAATTTGGTGGATTTTCATCGTCATTGTTTGGGTTAGCACCAGATGGCGAATTTCCACTTTCATCTACATCATTGCCTGAATTTGGTGGGTTTTCATCGTCATTGTTTGGGTTACCACCAGATGGCGGATTTCCACTTCCATCTACATCACTGTCTGAATTTGATGGATTTACAGCTGCGTTGTCATCGGCCTGGTCCGTGGATGGTGGATTTCCACTTTCGTTTACATTACCACCAAGATTTGATGAATCTACAGCAACATTATCACCTGATTCTATTGCCAATTGGCCCGGTAAATCCCTCAATTTTGGATACGTAATTTGTAAAGTTCCATGATATTTATTGCTTTCAATTGATCTTGATTTAACAAAAGCGATTAAAAAAATTAAATTTACCGCAAGTTTTAGAACTTTCATGTTTAACTGATTACAAGTTTTTTATTTCTAATCTCTTTTATAGACAAAATGCAAAGTGAAAAATGCACAAACTCAGAATTTTAGTTAAGTTTAATTAAAGAAACTGCATTACCTAATGGAATATTTTTTATTATTTGATAAAACAAAGGTTAAGATCAATATTTACTTAAAATTAAAAAAAATGTATAAATAATTAAAATTTTTTGACGTACTAATAACATAATTAAGAAGAGGGTCAAATCTATTTCATTGTTAAAAATTTTACAGCTAAGTAAACACAATTGCAATTAGTTGAAAATTTATTCTAATAGACTATTATACATATTTATGCATGTATATACATACATGTGTATTAGTGACATTATCATTAAATTTAATAAATAATTTTTGAAAATTTTAATTTACTTACTATACTTAATCATTTGTGCTTAATTTTAGCAGCAGTGCGTTAAAAACTCAAAAATATCCTCGCCTGAAAGGGCATTGCAAAACACGTTAAATGAAATTGGGTGGAGAGACCAAAAGATATTGTGCGCTCTGAATAGAGATGGAGAACAACTGAATACATTTTCTCAGGGATTATGTAACACTGACCCACAAGAGAGGGATGTAATGGATTACTGGCTAGCGTTTATTTCATTTCGAAATGTCGGTGTCGAAATGTAATTCAGATATTGAGGATCTTGAAGATGTGCTCAACCACGTTGTTCTAAGGGATTCTAAATCGCAATATATTTTTCAATTATATATGTACATAAATTAGTTAATAGTCTGACTTTGACAAGCAATTATTATTAGCACAACCATAATGCTTCATGTTTCTACTGCTTTTAATTCGCCGCACCTAAGGATTTTCGTCGAATATTCTTAATTAGAAAACATTTACAATAACTGTATTTTCTGGTGACATAAAAATGTCACCGATATTATTGTGAACAATAATCTAGAAATCTTATCTTAGTAAATGAATTTTAAATTTATAGAAGCGACATCTTAATGTGTTTTTAAAAAAACAAAACAAAATTTTATTTGAAATTATAATAAAAAGGTCCTTATTTATTTTTAATCAAAGGTTCTTTAACACAACAAACTTAGTATTACATACATATATACATATAAATATATGTATATATACGTAAAACATTTTTCATTTTGAAATTTTTCAAATGTAGAAATGGAACTGTCAAAATAAATTATCATCTATTATTTATTCATGCTATGAAGTTTTGGGTGGGTTCCCAACAAAATAAAAAGTATTGTTCAATGAAAATAACAATAGAATAAAAAACAAAGCAATATTTTTTTTTATATTTTTGTTGTATACGAGTAGAGCAGAAGTCCTTAAATCGCTCCTTCTTGCATTTGTGTGGGTTTTTTTATTTATTTTTAAAATTTTTATTGTAAGTGGGAGAATGAAAATAAATCGAATAAAAATTTTTATTTTTAAATTTCAATTCAATTAATCTAAATATGGTCTGCTATGGTCTTTATGGTATTTAGAATAGGTTTCTTTTGTTTGTTAAGTAAACCATTTTCCAATAAATTTTTGTTTTTTTATAATTTATAAAAATTTTACATTCAAATTTTCCATTTCTTTCAATAGTGCATATTTAAAACAAATTGGACATGAAGTTACTTATAGCATTCCACCGTGCGTTCGGTTTATAACATTAACAGACCCCATACAGCATGCAATGTTCCATTTACAAACTACAGCTATACGGAGTTATACACTCGTTGACTCAATTTTCAGTTATTATAAATATTACGATTGTGATAGGCTTTTCATTTGTAGTGATGAATTCAACATGACAATTGCTGAAGACTATTGGGCTGTTTAGTTTGGTTGCTGTATTTACCAATCCAACTGGTTAACAAACATTTTTTCTTAAAAATTTTCTTTTTTTACAGCAAAATCAATTTTTTAGAAGCAAAATCACTCCATAATGTTGGGCGCTGGAAATTGTTTTTCCGGGTTGTTATTGAGATCTTTTTTTTTGCTAAATTTTGGAGCGAATTCATTGAATTACAATTACACCGAGTATGTGAGTTTTTATGTGAGCCCAAATATTTGCTATGGTAAAATTAAATTTTTTTTAATTTTTTTCCAAAACAGTACAGAAAAACCAATGGTATATAATTATTTTGATTTCCATTTAATTTTAGCATCGCAAAAGGTAATATTTAACCCTTTTTTGTTTGCAATTGTAACAATAGAACTTAATTATTACACACGTAGACGCAGACAGCGAAAAATAGGCAAAAAAAAAGAGAGAAAAAAAGGTAAAAGTATAAAAACTAATTAAATTTCTTCAACTTTTAAGGATTCAATAATTTGTTCTTCATTCTTCTAATGGATGGAAATTACAATTTGTGTTTTTTTGAATATACGAGATCATCATCCCTTCATATACGAAAGAGCAAAAAGTAATTAGAGGATAAAAACACAACTTTTCCAAGAAAAATTCCATTTGAATTTTTTGCCTCTTTTTTATTTTTTTTATTTTAAATTCCGATCAAATTTCATTTGGCTTATAAGAAGCAAAATACTTTTCTAAGGATATTAGAAAATTAGCTTTATATAAAAGTAAAAGAACAGAATGGGAGAGAACATTTTTTTTATTGTTGTGTTGGTGAAAAGAAAATTATTAGTCATTAGTAGCATTAATTAGTTCAATTCAAGTATACTCACAAAGCAGAAGAAAGGATAAAAGATAAGCATCTTCTTATTCTTTATTATAAATTTTGTGACTTTTGAAAAGAATTAAAGGATTTTCATTAAAAAAATATTTTGCTTTGTGTCTAAAAGGGATAAAAAGAAAAGTTCTAATAAGCTGTAATAAGCTATTAATAAAGAAATTCGTTTAATTAAATGCACAAAATTGGAAACGATTAATAGCAAGTAATACAAAAAAAAAAAACAAACTAAAGTGACTTAGAGAGTAACAAGTAAAAGAGAGCACCTTGGCATAAGTAAGAGAACGAAAGCTGTGAGTAAAATATGAGAATATTTACTGAGAGCGTGAGTTAATTAAAACTTATATTGTTCACTTATTTTCATTTGTTATATCTTATGATAAACAATACTATCTTTAACATTGAGATGTCATTCTCATTTTAGTAAGTACGTCAGTAGAAGGATTCGAATGGAGAATAATTTACATTAAAAAATTCATTTTAGAAAATTTTTACTTCAAAATTTTAGTGAATCATCATAAGCAAATAAAATATAGACAGCAAAATTTATCACAATTGAAAAAAAAACAATCGAAATCTGAAGTAGCTTCCTCGAACCGATAACCTTGACATATATTTGACATAAGTAGTACAATAAACTAGACGTAATTTTGACATATTTTTGACATAAGTAGACTAATAAACTTGACATAAACTATCTAAAATAAGCTTGCCTCAGGTTTATTGCTAACCATTTTAAAAATGAAAGCCAGACTCATTGTTTAATAACAATTTTAACTCAGTGTTTAATGAATTTTTAATGATATAAAACACACTGACAGTTTAATGACAATCCGTTCAAAACCATTGTAATTGAATTTATAAAAAAAGCAAAAGTTCTAAATCAAATTTTAAATTATTGATAAATTTCTTGTTTTCCACATTCTCTCACAATCTTTTTGCCAGATGAATAACGAAAAAATATTAAGCAGAAGAGAGAGAACTCAACTTTTGTATTGAAGTTTTATGAATATACTTATTTAATACTTAATTTTGATTCAAATTACAAATCGATTATAAAATTTTTAAGTATCTTACGTTTACAAACTCTTTTTATTCTTAAAACTTTTTATTTTTGCAAACTTTTTCCCGCAAACGATAAATTTTATGAAATTTTCCGATTTTTTTTTAATTTTCTTTATTTTTTTATTTGTAATTTACAGCTTTTTTACTTTCTTTATGTCTTTTAAGAACACAAAAATCACCGAAAATTTTCAGACAATAAATAAAGAAAAAAAAAATAACAACAGGAATAAAAAAGACAAGAAAAAATTAATTATTATCTACTTCTCTTTTGTATATACGAGTATGACAATAAGGTTGAGTGGATCACGCGAACGAAGTAAAAATTTCATTTCTATCTCACTTTTATTTCCATATTTTTTTTGTAACTCGTTTCAGTTCATTGTCCCAAAATGACACTATAAGTGTAATTGTTTGCGAAAGTTAATCAACCAACTTGTTGAAAAAAAAATAGGTATGTGTAAGGTACTGGAATAAAAAGAAAAGAAAATAAACAATTTCCTAAATGAAATCGCGTGAGATTTTTAAAAGCGGACATCAGTGATTTGTGACAACGAACGACGAAGACAGAGTCAAATATAAAAAAAAATTATATGTATGTATATATGCTTGCTGTTGAGGTATTAAAAACAACATTTAATTCTTTTATTTCAATGTTAATTTTACGTAATTAAAATTTAATATTCTCCAGCAGTTTATTGTATTTGTATGCAAAGGAAGGATAAATGAGTGAATGGGAAAGATATCACATAATGATTTTTAAATGTGAAAGGTATAATTAAGGAGGGTTATTTTTAAGAAAGGACTTTTAATGTTCGTACAGTTTTTTGTAATCGTTTAAGATCAAATTTCCTTAAAATTAGTTTTTTTTGTAAAAGTGTGTACTTTATTTTTGATATTTGAATTTTAAAGTTAAAATTAATTAAAATTAATAATTTCAAAAAATTTTAAAGCAAAAATTAAAACGAAATGTGAATAAAATTACTAAAATTATAAGTTACAAAATTTTGCACTTCAATTACACCACTTCAATTATTTTTGATTAAATAGTGCTCAGATAGCAGCACACTTGTGTTTGAACATATAAGATTAGAGGAGTTTTATGAATTAAATGTCAGTTTTTAATAATAACATGGCCTTTAATGATAATTTTTAAACATTCAGGGTAATTTATTAACAAAATTATTTAATCATAGAACAATGCGTGCATGTATGCCTCGATCCCATTTTTTTTACTTTTA